TTAGAAATTGAACAACACTCAACCAAAAATAAATAAATCCAACTCTATCTCTTTGTAATTTAAAACCACTTTTTGTACCGTCTATTTATACTCTTAATTAACTCTCTGTTTAACTCACTTGTGAGATTTGAACACAGTATCCTATTTAGAAGAGTGAGAGACTAATTTCATTAAGTTAGTGACGATATATTATGTCGTCATTATATAACTCATTGTGTCTACAACACTCATCCAGTATCTTATGATGAGTGTTGTAAACAATGTTTTAGAGGTGTGACAATTGCACACCTTGAGGCAAGGCTCGAAAGGCTTATGCTTTGCCTCGTGAGACTTTGACGGCTCTAATTTTACGCTTTCAACCTTGAAAACATTGATTGTAAACATAATATATATGTGGAGATTCAATGCATACTAGTAATTTGCCTTCTTTATTTTCCATTTTTTTAAAAGAGAAGCAAAAATTCGTCCCAACCACTGAACCACTCCATGGTGATTAATAGTCTTTCTTTGATTTTATGTTTTTTAAACACATTGAAAAAATCTCACAGTACTCAATTTTCTTTAACCTAGATTAAATTTAGTACTTAATCAAACATCTTAATGAATATATCGAAGTTAAATAAATTGATAGAAATGAAAATTTCTCGAGATATAATGCTTGTTTTTGATGCCGCCGATATTAGAAGAAGGGAATCGAACTTAACGAATTCGAAACTCTTACAAAAGGTGAGGTTTTGAGAAAAAAAAAAAAAGAACAGCATGGGGAGATATTTATGTCCATGTTAGCAGGCAACTATTTACAAATCAAATCCTTTATTTCATTTGCTTACCTTTTGCGAGCCAAATGTTTTGCCCTGCAGTAAAACAGCGGAAAATAGCGGAGCTCTGTAGTTGTAGTTGTAGTTGGCAAATGAACAAAAGTAGTCGGCAACGGCGGTTGAAAATTTGAAATGAAAAATGAATAAAATAGTCATCTCTTCAATATATTATTGGGATCTGTCATCTGTTTCAATACAAAAGACCTTCTCTTTTGACAGTTTCTCAACCACATTTTAAAAAAAAGAAACGAAAGGACTTCACCTCAGATCTCTCAAACTAGTGACAGAAGCACCCAAAGTTCCAAGCGGATTTAGGAAAATGCCAGACACCCCCATCCCATGCCGCAATTTCACTTCTCGTTTCTGACTGCTCCCTATGCTTCTCTCAACTAAGTGAGAGGTGAGAGCTCCCTCTCTCTCTCTCTCTCTCTCTCTCTCTCTCTCTCTCTCTCCTGGATTTCTCCTTTTCCGTTCCATAGTTTTTTAATTGATGCTCTGTATCTGATTCCCTTCACATAAATCTTAGTTTCTCTGCAACCTGCTGGCCAATTGAGAACTACCCTTTGGTTATTAAGCATGATTTTCTTCTTCTCTCGCATAAAATCTGTTTCTTTTTTAATTTTTTGGTGATTGGAGAAGTACCCATCATTTGACATTGCCTTTTAAAGTCTCTTGATTTCACATCTTTAAGTTCACACGTGAACTGGGTTTTTGTCAAATTTGGTGCTTTTGAACTCTGAAAGTTAGAATTGTATGAGATTACTGCCACCCAGCTTACCATGTTACTCTATTTGGGTTTTTTTAGCTGTATTCAATGCATTAAATTAAGGATTTAGGGGTAGTTGGTGGGTAAGAAAAAGTTAAGCAGTTGAATGCTTTTCGCCAATTCACATAAGTGCCTTCATCTTGATCCTTTTCTGGGTCAAAGTTGTCTGCGATTCTCCTGCTGGCCAGCTCTTTTCAACTTCCCTGGTACTTCTCACCTCTCTCTCTCTCTCTCTCTCTCTCTCTCAATTCAGCTTGACATGTGAAGTTCTATGCCTCCTTTGGTGTTGTAAATCAGTTTTTGTTCTGCCTTGACTTTTGATCATATTTTGGGATTATGCTTACAAGGCTAATTTGGTGGATTCTGTGATTGGTTACCTCATAGTTGAAAGTGTTTTTTTTTTCTAGGCATCCTCCTTTCCTTTAGGGTCCTTTGTATTGTAAAGATGTTTTGCGTCTTCTCTGGTTAGTTCTATTGTTCTTCTTCAATCTTCCATTGTTTGAAATCTTAGTGAAGTACCGGTTTTCAGTTGGCCATGGGGGATATGAATTTCATTCATTTCATGGGGTTCATATTTCTGTCTGTTCTTCTCTCTTCTGGAACCTGCCTGGCTAGTGTTCGAAATTTTGGTACGATTAATTCGTCGTTTCAATGGGCTCAAATGGACTGGATTGACAATGATGGGTTGTTTCTGTTATCTAACAAGTCCGAGTTTGGTTTTGGCTTCCAGACTACTCCCAATGACGTCACATTGTTTCTGCTGGTTGTTTTCCACATGGACAGTTCTAAGGTAGTCTGGACTGCGAATAGGGGTTCCCCGGTTTCAAATTCTGATAAAATTGTGTTTGATGCTAAGAGTGGTGCGTCTTTGCAAAAAGGTGGAAGTGTGGTTTGGTCTACGGATACTGGTGGTAAAAGCGTATCTGCAATGGAATTGCAGGACTCGGGAAATTTGGTTTTGCGTGGAGATGACAATGGAGTAGTTTGGCAGAGTTTTAGCCATCCAACTGATACCCTATTATGGAATCAGGAATTTTCAGAAGGAATGAAGCTTGTAAGCAATCCTAGCTCTAACAACTTGAGTTATATTCTTCAAATCAAGTCCGGGGACTTGGTTCTTTCTGCAGGTTTCAAAACACCACAGCCGTATTGGTCTATGGCGAAAGAAAGCCGTAAAACAATCAACATAGATGGTGGTGTAGTCACTTCAGCAACTATCAGTGAAAATTCATGGAAGTTCTTTGATCGATCCAAAGCGTTGCTATGGCAATTTATTTTCTCGAGCAATATTGATGCAAATGCCACATGGATTGCAGTTTTAGGAAGTGATGGATTTATCTCTTTCTACAATCTTCAGAATGGAGGGTCAAGTAGTCCTTCAGGAACAAAAATACCAAGCGATTCGTGCAGCACACCAGAGCCTTGTGATTCATACTTCGAATGTTATAGTAACAACAAGTGCCAGTGCCCTTCAGGTCTCAGCTCACGTACTAATTGCAAGGCGGGGGTTGTCTCCTCTTGTGATCCTTCGGAGGGTTCTACGGAGCTTGTAAATGCTGGGGACGGGCTCTATTATTTTGCGTTGGGATATATTCCACCTTCTTCGAAAACTGATTTGAATGGTTGCCAAACGTCTTGCCTTGGCAACTGTTCGTGTGTTGCTATGTTCTTCCAAAACAGTACAAGAAATTGTTTTCTGTTTGACAGATTAGGTAGCTTCCAAAATTCTGACAAGGGCTCTGGCTTTGTTTCTTACATTAAGGTCTTGAGGGATGGAAGCAGTGGGAGGAGCGGAAACAACAAGAAACACTTCCCTTATGTTGTGATCATAGCCATCTCGACAATACTTGTTATTTGTGGCCTACTTTTTATGGGATACCGATACTACAGGAGGAAGGGAAGATCACCAGAATCTCCTACAGGGACCTCAGACGAGGAAAATTTCTTTGAAAATATGACTGGGATGCCCATTCGTTTCAGTTACAGAGATCTCCAAACTGCAACAAATAACTACTCGGTGAAGCTAGGGCAAGGAGGTTTTGGCTCGGTTTACCAAGGGAGTCTCCCAGATGGGACTCAACTGGCTGTGAAGAAGTTGGAAGGCATTGGTCAGGGAAAGAAAGAGTTTCGAGCTGAAGTTAGCATCATTGGCAGCATCCATCATCTGCACTTGGTCCGGCTCAGGGGCTTCTGTGCAGAAGGAAGTCATCGACTTCTGGTTTACGATTACATGGCAAATGGGTCTCTTGATAAATGGATTTTCAAGAAAAACAACGGAGAATTCCTATTGGATTGGGATACAAGATTCAATATAGCATTGGGTACGGCTAAAGGGCTAGCATATCTCCACGAAGATTGTGATGTGAAGATTGTTCACTGTGACATAAAGCCTGAAAATGTTCTCCTCGACACTAATTACCTTGCCAAAGTCTCAGATTTTGGTTTGGCAAAGCTAATGACCAGGGAACAGAGCCATGTTTTCACAACGCTAAGAGGAACCCGAGGGTACCTTGCACCGGAGTGGATCACCAACTACGCAATATCAGAGAAGAGTGATGTGTACAGCTATGGAATGCTCTTGCTAGAGATCATTGGTGGGAGAAAGAATTACGACCCGACAGAAACTTCAGAAAAATCCCATCTTCCATCTTATGCCTTCAAGATGTTGGAAGAAGGCAAAATGAAGGACATCCTGGACACAATGCTAGGGAAAGATGAAGCCGACGAGAGGGTACACACAGCCATTATGGTTGCACTGTGGTGCATACAGGAGGATATGTCTGTGAGACCATCCATGACGAAGGTTGTCCAAATGCTTGAAGGCCTGTATCCCGTTCCCCAGCCTCCAACCTCCAACTCAATGGGGTCTCGCCTTTATTCGAATTTCTTCAGATCAGTCAGCGGGGAGGGGACTTCCTCAGGACCATCAGACTGCAACAGCGTTTCTGCAGTGCGCCTCTCCGGCCCAAGATAACATTTGCTGAAGATGAGAGGGATGTACACATTGTTTACTACCATATTTCTGTATATTTTTCTCCGTTTACGCAAATTTTGTAACCCTAGCCGTTACTTTTCTTTTAGCTCAAGTTATTTATATTTTTCTATTTTCCTATTTTTCTTGGCATTGCTTGTTCAGTAAATAATGAGTGTTCAATAGTTGAATATGTCCCCAAAATAAAATACTCCGAAAGACAAAAGGTGCAACTTTCTTGACCTCCCGCTTTGATTCCCGCCCCGTTGCCATCTCCGATGCGACATAAGGATTCTCCATTACGTTTTGTCGGTCCAGCACGGGCCAGTAATGGACCTACTAACAGACTCTTCGTCTAACGATACTTTTCTTGTTAATGTTAAAAGGAGAGACCGGCGTTGAATTTCCTTACTCCTTGTTGGATGATACATCCCTCGTTAATGTTACAAGACATCTTAAGTTTGCTTTGACGGCTACTCGTTAATTAAATTGCGTGTAGGATTTCCTCTGGACTTGGACCCCATGGGATGCGGTCCTTTTCCTGTACAGACATCTCATCTTCAAATGCCCACAAACCCATTTCTCATTATCTCATCCGTCCGTTAGAAATGGCGCCAATTACCTCCACCGCCGCCCTCCTCTGCTCCTCAACCCCGTCCATCTCTACCCCCTCCTACTCCACCACATTCCCGTTCATCTTCAGCTTTCCCGCCAAATCTCCCTCAACGGTCAATTTTCGCGCCAATCCTCTTCCCGCCGTCAATGCCGCCACTTCAGGTAAAAGCTAACAAAACCCTAAATTCTCTGTTTGGTTGCTTGGAGGTAAAAGGAAACGCAATTCTATAAATTGATGCACCAAATGTTGAAAATCGCACGTAAAGATCACGTCTTGGGCAGAAGAGGACTGGTGCTTGCACTTACTGCCACACTGCCATGGATGCGTCCGTTCTCTGAATGCACGGCGGTGAAGGCGGCTGAGTGAGTTGAACAAAATCTCCGATCTTTTCGTTTATTAAGATTATATTTAAATATGTGCATAGTAATTACCGGGTTTTGTATTTGACATTTGGAAGGTCGGATGGAAGTGAATATGAGCTTATGAAGGAGGAGATCAGGAAGGTGGTGACGAAGGGAAAGGCGGCCGGCGTGCTTCGTTTGGTGTTTCATGATGCCGGGACCTATCAAATTGATGACAATTCAGGTACCGATATCTATATGCATTGACCATGCTTCTTACTCATTTCCACTACTCCATTGAATTTTCGAAGTTGGAGTAATTTCAATTGGAGTTAATATTCCTACACTTCCTGTAATACCTGGTCTTGTGGGTCGAGGATGTGCGAGTGGTTGACGTATGTTGCATTGTACAGTCAATTTTCTACGGATATGTTTCGGGTTGAATTGGATCTATTGTCTGTATTTCTTTCAAATTGGGACAAGTGCTCTACTATTGCTACAATGCATCTTCATTGCTGTTGTTAACTATTGCAGGTGGTATGGATGGTTCTATCGTTTATGAACTTGATAGACCGGAAAACAAAGGTCTTAAAACTCCTTTCAAGGCATGCCCCTTCTAAACTCTATATATAGATGTGTGTCGATTCAATCTTTTGGTTTCCATCGGGTTCCCGATTCTTAATCTTTTGCATAATGATTGAGTAAACAAATTATTCATACGATCTTTTATCAGCTAACTCTTCAGTGGATTGAATTGTTGGTTAGATTCTAGAGAAAGCAAAGAGTGAGGTGGAAGCAGTACACCCAGGTTTTCTATCTAGTGAGATACAGTTGACTAGGTTTTAGTAGTGCCAAGTGCTGTGCTAACATGTGGGTGTTTCCAAAACTAGTGTCCTGGGCAGACATGATTGCTGTGGCTGGAGCAGAAGCGGTTTCAATATGTGGAGGTCCAACAATCCAAGTTCCGTTAGGCAGACTAGATTCAAAGTAAGATGCATCAAGGTGGAAAAAACCAACATGATGCTTGAACCTTTCAATAATTCAGTTGCCAAGTATTGCTAGTGTTAACGCAAACCCTTAAAAGAGAAAAAATAGTTTCTAATTCTTGTAGGAGCATCTATCTAGTGCTACCAAAAGCTGATAATTCCTATTTTTAGAAATGATGCTGCGAATAGCTATATCTCTCTATCTCTCATCTTTTCTGCTTTTTTCATTTATTTATTTATTAGGGAGCCTGATCCCGAAGGAAAACTTCCTGAAGAAACTCTGGATGCTTCTGGTCTGAAGCAAAGCTTTCAATCAAAAGGCTTCTCGTAAGTTCATATATGCTAAACGTTTGCAATATTTGGTGGCCGAGGGTGTGGTTGTTGTTTATATCTAAAATAAACTGGATATGCATGAAGATTAAAGTCCTCGAGATATCAATGGACATTTTATTGATAGATTTGCTTAGTTTCTGCATTTAATTGATTTCTGTTGTAGTTATATGTTTATAGTGACTTGACTTGCTATGGGTTTGAACCATGTAATTTTTTTTTTTTTTCAGAACTCAGGAACTTGTTGCTCTGTCAGGAGCCCATACTATTGGAAATAAAGGTTTCGGGAACCCAACGGTTTTTGACAATACATACTTCAAAATTCTTCTTGAGAAACCATCTTCAGGTAAATAACAGTAACATGGATATAAGGTGCATAATAAAATAGGCTTAAGAAAAACTCGGGATCTCCCTCAAACTCCCGCTATTGGGGAATTTGTGTTACAGCTTGATAACTGAGCAACGATAGAAAAATAGGAATGCAATGGAGTAATGATGCTCTATTTTTAGAGTGAGTCAACTTTCACATTTCTGCTTGATCTTCAATGAATGTGTGTGTGTGTGTGTATATATATATATATTTATTTTGATGCACACGTATGCTTTGATCAATTTGCTTGGGCAACATAGACATTTGTTATGTTCAATGAATGCATCTATCATGATATTCACGATATAGGCGAAACAAAGTATTGTGACTTATCTATGTAGCATCTAAAATCAATGACTTGATAGAAAATTATCTTCTCGTTTTTGTTGTGCGATTTCTGATTCTATTCTTTGCATTCAGGTAGCATGATTGGCCTTCCCTCAGACCGTGCACTTGCCAAGGATGATGAATGCTTAAGGTCCATTTCCTTGTAGAAACTTTAATCTGTGTACTTTTCTCTGTTCTGTCATGTGTTGCTGGGCATTTAAGCCAGTCGACTACTCTACTCAGTTATTCATAGAATATTAAAATGAGTATAATCTGGTCAGAAGACTTGAAAAAAAAGAGCCAACAATTTAAACAGGAGTTATGCTAGAAAAATCTAAATTTGATGACAATCAATCCACAAGTTCCTCAAAGTGGTTGAGATAATTGTGATCGTTCACAATTTCTTTTATGCAAGGGTTCATGTTAGGAAATGAATTAAAGATTTTGTCACGGTGAGTTGACGCTACAGTTGTGAACATTTTAGAACGATGGCCTCCTTCTTTAACTACTTTGATCTTACACATTTCTCATAAATGCCTGATATGTCATGCTCTAGTGGTCAGAAATTAGAAAAATGACAGTATCTAATGTTCCATTTTTATGTACATGTAGTATTTGTTCCTTATTCATATCCAACTGAAGAGAAGCTTGTTTCCTGCACAGCTGGATCACAAAGTATGCCGAGGACCAGAATCTGTTCTTCGAAGATTTCAAGACGGCTTATCTCAAACTAGTGAATTCGGGAGCCAGGTGGAAGAGCTTGTGAAATAATTGCAGAAGCGAGCAAACTTGACGTTTATCACGCAAAGAGATCAAGAAGTGAAGCGTTGGCAATAACAGCCGAGTCTTGCTAGAATGAAGAATTAATTAGGTATATGTCATGAATTCATGGATTAGCTGAAAGCTTTAATTGAATGATTAGCTGACAGATAAGGTGAGACCCCAAGCAAGACTTATCTTGTACAATTAACATTATATCAAATAATTCAGCCTATTCAGATATGAAATAATGAAGTTTTGGACTACAAGTATATAGCTATAGCCCGTATGATGTGAGAAAGTCTAGGTTATTAGAGCAATCATAATTTTTCTGGTACTAATTCAACCCATCAAGGGCTTCTAACTTTACAATGTCTCTAATGGTGGGGTGGGGGATTTCCCATCCTCAGCTGTCACTGAGTTAGAACTTTCCAAATTCCAATTAATATGATGGATGTGGATTGAAAGTTGAAACTATGGACCTAAGCAACTGCAGATATTTGTTTTGGGTACAAAGAAAACATGGCCCACTTCCATACTTCCACGTGGAGGCCACGACGTATTTCATCATCGAATACATGACCCATTTCCTTTTGAATGAGTGTTGTTATTTGTACTGCATTTATTTATCGGTTTTTTATCTTAACAAAACCTTGTGTGTAATTGAAGATATATCGCCTTATCTCTTTCTCAACACGTGATTTAGAAGGATAAATATTGGATGGTGTTATCCACACAAATTTTTTCACCTCTCACACATCCCTTATTAATTTTTTCCTTTGATTTTTTTAATTCATTTCATCCAATGGCAAAAAATTGAGAGGAGTGTATGGAAGGTAAAAGAGGTTTGTTAGTAGCATCATCCTAAATATTTCAATTATAAGATAGAATCGCTCCTCTCTATTCTATCTAAGGTGGAACCAACACATGTGAGACTCATGTGTGACATTCAAATCTAGTTGAATGTCGTACACGAGGTTGCTCTATTCAGTTCATGCACACTGAGTTGGGGCCTACATGTGAGACCCACATCTAGGTTCCATCTAATGTGAGATAGCTACCATATGTAATAGTCAATGCATTTTAACTTTCTTACATGACAACACGTGATTGAATTAAAAAGTTGAAATATCCATGGTGCACATAAATCCTCCTACACGGCTACACAAAGACTCTGCAACATGACTATAGTTGATTTCTCAACGAACACCAAAACAAAGAAACTAAAGAGTGATTATATTAAGCGGAGTTCTTATCCAATAACATATGTCCAAAAGTATGCTTGTCTACTTGTGGGTCAAGCAACTCTTAAGGGTCATAATACAAGAATTCATGGATAATAAAAGGACATCTCAACTCCACCTTCTTCTTTAATTTGATTTTGTTAATTTGGCTAGCTCTTATCTTTGTGGTCGCCAGTGGTTCTTGTTGGTGGGAACCAATGGAAGCATCTGCCAAGAAAAATATTATTGAAAATAATAAAATATTTATTGAATTGTGTATCTGAAAAAATACGCATTTTTTATTTATAAAAATATGCATAAAAGAGTGCAATATAATATTTTTAAAGTGCCAATAACAATTTCAATAAAAAACATGTTAAGGATAATGATCAATGTTTAGACCATTAATGTGAAATTTTAAGCATCAACCCATTTTTGAACTTAGAAGATAAACATATAAAGAAATAACTTATTAATAACACACACAAAAAAAAATTTACGTCTCAAACTGTAATTTACATATAAGAAAAAATGACCTGTTCTAAAAAAAGAGCACATATTTTGACACATTTTTTTTTTCCTTCTTTCCTGTCCAAGACTACACAAGAACAGTGCAGAGGAACAGAGGGTCCCCCTGTTGCCCGACTGGACTGTATGTAGTGTATTATTCAGTGTATGTATGTATGTATCCTTCTGTAATTAAAATAATCAAACCCTAATCCGTTAATTTAATCAATTACTTAAAAAATACTAGGTATGTTATAAATGGGTTCTCTAATTTGAATCTTCATCACATGTCTCTGCAAGTGCAACCAGCTTATCTTAAGTAATACAAATATACGCACTTAAGAATCTATATTATTTTATCTGATTAAACCAAATATATCACAGTAAACAGGCTTTCACAATATTAATGTATGCATTTATCCAAAAAAGAAATGTGAGTGTAAAGATCTATACATGTACATGCCAGATTAGTATATTTCACCCATTTGTGGTCACAAAGGATTATATATTAAACTGTGTTTCATTTTCTTAAATTAATCGACTTGTATGTTACTGTTAGTTATTTATTCAACGCATGTTATGCATGCATCAAATTTGAACTCATAAGATTGACTTCAACCTAGTTTGTTATAAGTTGTAACAAGAATTTTTATAGGTAGTTAAAACACAAGTCACGTAGTTTTTCATTCTACGTAGTACATATTACAATAACAGTCGATAACATAGTTGATTCCACTTCTAAGGTATATATAATAATTAAAAATATAAATCCATGTATAATAACGTTGAATGACTATATTTCAAGTATACCGAGAAATTGCTTAATTTGAACCTCTAAGTTACAATACTCTGAATTATTCTTTTTTTATTTTATTTTCAATTTATGTTTATATATCCTTTATATTAATATATATGTTGTTCAAATATCAAAGGTAGTGTTCAAGTCAAGTAGTATTCCTAAAGTCGGCCTAAGATTTCTTTTGTTCTATTTAGAAAAATATAGTTTCCATTTTCATATTCCCGTCTTTTGCAATCATAATCCAAGAAAAAGAAAAGAAAAAAAAAATTCTTTAACGTGAATGATGATGAATGAGAAATTTGATTTTGCAGTACCATAACAAGTTTCATATCAAATATTTATTAGCTCCGAGTAAGTTGTACAGAAATTCTATCATCAAGTAGCCTTATCTGAAGCTCTCTAGTAAAAAGAGACAAACAAAGAAATTCCCTTGTTGAAATTTAGCTAATTAGTAATTATTTTGTAGCTTTGATATACATCGGTGGCTCATTTTTTGACTACTTAAGCTTTTGAGGCAAGTTGTTGTCTAATAGACTAATATAGTCACATGGAAATTTTTTTTTTTTCAAATTGTTTGGAATGCGGTTTTCATTTCTTATTCCTTTGTTGGTTCATATGGTCGGGGTTACACTTATATTATATGTTTGTCCTTATCTACTCTATTGTTATGCAGTCTCTCTCTTTCTTATCGATATACCTATCCACCACATGCAAGAATAAACATGCATGTACGTATGTGAGAGAAGACATAAACTTAGTATACACTGTTGGTTACCATCCTTATGCTCTCTCTCTCTCTCTCTCCCCTATAATGCTTTCCACCACATGCAAGAATAGGCATGCATGCACATACGTGAGACAATACATAAACTTAGTATACATCGTTAGTTCATTCTCTAATGCGCATCTAATCATATGAATGTAGAAAACATGTCTTGAATGGCTTGTAAACAATGCCATGATCATATATCTTGTTTTTGTTGACTACTACATGATTCAAACATAATACAAAACTAGGAGGAAAAAAAAGGTGAAAAGGGTAGTGGGGTGGGCAAGATAAGCACAAAGAAAATGTGGGTTTTCTGTATTCCGAGTCAATTAATCATGCAAATATATACCTTTTTTGAATACAATTGCAAGGATAAGAGAAGAGAAGAGAAGAAAAGAGTGACATATCTGATGACCTCTGTGCGCAAGAAATAAGAAATTAGTGGGACACAGAGCACAGGTGGAAATGATATAGAATGTCGTGGAGGGTTAGAAATCGGAGGGGCAATGCATTGGCAGCTCCCCTGTACCTCTGCTTCCTTGTGTCTCTCCACTCTACTCTCTCTCGATCGCTACATGTATAAGCCACAAACATCGTTCACCTATACAGTGCCATTTAATTTATCTGCAATTTTTCACGTATTCCCACATTCTGAAAAAATATTTTTTTGGTCAAAAATTCTGAAAAATATGAACATACATAAATATAGGAATCTAAATTTGCATGAATTTGAACTTTGAAGGTAATAAATTATTACCACTAATAATAAAACTCGAAATTATGGTCGTTTCAACATGAATCGATCACTATATAATTAAAATACTCTAATAATTTTTTCGCCCTTGGATTACATCCGATGGTGGTTGACCAAGAATTTCCTGGTCACCATGGATCAGAAAAACGGTATTACTATTTTATGTCTATTATGGGACATCGATTGAGACTATCTCACTTATACTTAATTTTATTCAATTTTGATCTGTTATTCATTGATAAAGGTAATTATTTTAGGTGTATACAATGACATCGTTGGAGCTTCATTTAGGTTTGAAGTATTGACTTTGAGCTTAAAACTTAAAACCTAAGCAATTAACAAATTCGAGATGGAAAACCTAAAGTCTAATTCCTAAATGGTAATTCTCCATTCTAGAAAATTAAAAAAAAATCACTGAACAAAAATAGAAAATAAGTGCAACAATTTTCTTGTTAGAAATTGATTGATTTAATTTTCTTGAGGGGACATAACAATGGAAAATGAATTTAAATTTCAGATGCATGGTTGGTGACAAGTATATGATAAGATCACAAAACTGCATGACATCATCCTAATTTTATTTTCGGTAATGGACATCGACCCATCCTCAGAGTTAGTATATATGCACAAGGGTGTCCAGAGCTTGACAAAAAACACCACCATTTGGAACAAATCTTTTCTTTCAAGCCAACTTGGCTTAAAAGCTAAAACAGCCGATTAAGCAAAAGCAAAAGCAAGTTATTAATGAACAAAGGGTTCCATCAGTCTCATCACAATGCTTTGTTAAAACAAGTGGTTGATTTGAATTGTAGGCCCGAGTTTGTTTGCCTAATCCTCCTTTTTTCCTTTGTTATAACCTCATTATAAACTTAATCGTGTTTATATATCAGTGTTAGTTGTTTGTACGTAAAACCAATTTGACTTGTTATATATGTCTTTGCTCGGTCTGAATTGATTTATGCGTTATATATCAATGTTAGTTGTTTGTACGTAAAACCAATTTAACTTGTTATACATGTCTTTACTCAGATCTGATTTGACAAGAGAACGTTACAACTCTACATATATTTTCTCCTCAATTTTTTTCCTTCTCAGTTAAACAATTAGACTAGGTTTGTTTCTAATGTTGTTTGATGGAATCAGAATATTGTTCATCATAAATAGAAAGATCCTCTGACCTAGGACTCAAAAAATAAAATAAACCCAGACCTATTTCTTCTTTTTTATTCTTTAGCATTAAATTAAATTATAAAATATAGGTTTTGATATGGCAAAAATGACAGAGATCGCCATATCCATGCATGCGCATGGTTTATATTTAAGTCTGAAGACACAGAAGCAGCATATATAAATTAGTAACCCTAAAAAAGGCTAAACAGTAACATAGAGAGAGAGTGGTTGAGTTACGATCGAGTGGTGGCCCGAGAAGAATAGTGTTGGTTGCATGCAGCTCTTTACACACCCGACAACTTAGCTGAAATTGGTCGGTTTGTCACGACGTCATCTCTCTCTTACTATATCTTCACCCATGAAAATTCAAGAAAAAATTAGGGTTCCAGATACCCGCGGATTCGGGTTTGGACTGCGGGGGCCAGCAAGACAACTCAAAATATTAAGGTCTTGAGACCATTTTAGACAAAGTTTATCAACTTGTAATTCTTATGCGATGAATGTATTGAAGCAAGTTTTGAAGTAAAGATTTTCCAAAGGTCTTGAACTTGGAGTCAAACTGAGCTGGTAATTTGATTATCGTAGTGGAGATCTTTATAATGCTTAGTTTAGGAGATAACATTTATGACTTCAATGTTAACAAAGGGGTTTAGAACTCTGTCTTGGGCTTAAGCTTACTTAACTCCGAGCTTGTTTACTCCAAAATGATTGTCAGATTAGACTACATTCTATGCTAAGGAGTAAATGATGAATTTTTTTTAAAATATTTTCTCTAACAGGCTTAAGAACTTGAGTAAGATAAATTTGGCAAGATATCTCCTAAGACATTTAAATCCTTCCAGGGTGAAGCAACATAGGCGCATTCTGCCCTGCATCTAGTTTTTCAGCTATGCATTTGGAACTTTGACCATGGTCTACAATATGGTTTAGAACTTCGAAATCAGATCTTTGAGAAACAAACAAGCAAGGTTAGCCGGACTTGGCTAGCTCCGAATAAACGAGAAAGTTTGAAGCTCATTTCGAAGTGTATCAAGTTCATTTTACAATAATTCGGTCATCATCTATTGGTAACTATCCATCTTCAAGCAGAGTGCACTCTCAGAAGCATAATTAAGGGCAATTGTTAGACTATGATTTTCTGAACCACCGACATGTGACAATCAAGGTGGCAAGAAAAACCAGAATACCTGTAGCTCACAACTAATTCAGATTACTCTTCCTATAACAATTGTCGCTCTAAAAGTTGATATTGAACAAACGACGACACGATGACAACCAAGAAAGCTATTATTGACAAAGCGAAAGAGCGATCATAAACCAAAGGCTCTTCTCAAACGACCACAATTAAAAACAAAGAGGAAAAAAAAGATTAGAAAAGGATGCTGGCGACCCCTGCCTTGGGTGTTGGGTTCGACGGCTAGGGTTTTGTTTTCTTGATTTTCTCTAGCGGTAGAAATTATGCATTACTAATTCTAGTTAGTTGCTTTCAAATTTTTAATTTATTGTTTGATTCAAACATGACTTGTATTTAAAAAATTAATTGAATCGTATTCAAAAACAAAAACAAAATTAATTAATCACCTTAAGTATGCTTTTTTTTCATTATTAACTAGCATTTGCCTACACACTTTGTGTATATGAACATATTTTTTTAGAAAATGAGAAGGAGAGAGGGAGAGAGGGAGAACGTGGGGGAGTGAGAGGTTTTTTTTTTTTATATATTTATTTTAATATTGGAGGTATTTTAACATCACCTGTAGGTGAGGCTTAAATAAAAAACGGTAAAATTTAGACATGTGAAATTATATTATTGCCCATCATTGATAGAAGACTAATTTGCCTTTTCATCCTCTTTTGGTTGACAAATAAGATTTCATTAATTAGTAGAATGATATTACAGAGTGTGTATTCTATTAGGAATTTAAATGGTTATAAAAAAAAATTATAAATCGATATATATTCAATCAAATTTTTTAATAAATTCATGGCTATCCAATGAAGATTTAAAAAAGTTTATAAAACTTCATAGAACTCCGAGTGTATTCATTTCGTATTTTAAAGTAGTTCACAAAATTTCATATGTATTCATTATAATTTAATTTTAACGTATTTTAAAAACAAAGGATTTTAATAGACTTCAAGAGATTTTATAGTGTTTTTTAGGCCTTAGGAAATTAGACTGCTCCCCTAATATTTCAAATTATTTCAGTCAAAATTCACATGGAGTTATAAAACTTCTTTAAATTAAACTCCATAGATTATAACTCTTTCAAAATCATTTAAACTCGTAATTGAATACACCCTCAACTTATGTAAACTAATATAACATTCTAATAGGATCATAAATTGTGTTTTGGTTACAAAACATACTAAGGAGTGGAGATGGCATCATTAGGATCATCAACCAGTGTTTTTAAATGAGATAAACGATGAATTGTCTGTATCGTTAAAGTGTGGATAAAGTGTCGGTATCGATATAACATTTACGATATCCACATTTTATCGATACCGACAATCCGTTCTTTTAAAAACAGCGAACATCTTGTCTCCAAAAGAAATGTTCAAGTAGTTAAGTACATTTATTATTGGTCATTAGATCCTACGTTTGATTCCTCATTTCGTAGATCGCTCTTGTCATATATTAATAGTGAGGTGGTGCCGTTACGATTGCCAAACGTGTCTAGGTTACAATATAAATTTAGCTGTCTACATTTACGGTATCCACTCTTTATCATCATCGATAATTCGTCCTTTAAAAATAACAAACATTTTGTCTAAAAAGAGATGTCCAATTAATTAAATGCATTTATTCTTGCACCAAAGATCTTGCGTCCAATATCTCATTCCGTACATCGCTTGTGTTAGACATTAAGGGCTAAGGTGGTGACATGAGGATCGTCAATCGTGTATCGGATATAGATTGTATTTTGCTTAACCAACACTATCAACAGAATTAATACGATATCTACACATTATCAATAACAACAATTCATCCTTCAATTAAACAACAAACATCTTGTCTCGATAAAAAAATTATATCGTGCATTCTATATTCGATTCCTCCTCCCATAATATCGGTCAAATAAAACAAGAAAAAAGAAAGGTATCTTTTTTCACATTGTACAAGAAAAACCAAAAGAAGTAACTGTAAAATACTTGGTGGGGAGGGTTGGTGGTTATTACTTTGTTAGTAGGTAGTTAATGGTTGCCCGAAAACCGTAAAACCGTATCTGTTGAAAGTATAATGACCGTATAAGGCGTATTTGGTTCGGGCAGGGAGAGAGAGAGAGACCTGACCTGACCTGGATTTGGTGATTTAAAATCCGAAATCTATAAAGAAAAACGCCTCCTCCTCCGAGTCATAACCGAGTCAGCCCGGCGTCTCCACTCACTCAGTCCGATTCGCTTTCATTATTTGCTCACCTCCGTCAATTTTCAAATCCACAACAGTTAATACTTAATATTATATTATTATAATTATTGTTTCCAGATTTCATTTTCTTTAAACCCGAAAAAATGAAAAGGAAAAATCAAAACTCCAACTTTTGAATCCGAAAAGATCCTTCCTTTTGGGTCCGGATCCTCCGATCGTCTTCCGCCGTCGTCGCTGCCGTACTCTACCCCCTCTCCGGCGCTCAGATCCTTCAAGCCGTCTCTGCGGTTGGGCCGGAGGTAATGGAGTTTTGATTGTTGTTGTTGCGCGCTTATCGAGGTGAGTGGAAACTCTTTGCGCTTGTTTTACAGTGGCAGTCCGCTTGGCTGCTGAGAAAATGTGATGAAATGCCAGGAAAATGCTGAATCTTGTGGTCTTTTTTGTATTGATTTCAGCTTGAAGACTGAGTTCTGAGCTCTAGGGATAGCCGAATGTTGAATCTTGTGCCTTTTGTATTGATCGTTGATTTGTCTTACTGGTTAATTTGTTGCATGTTTGTTTTAGATCAGTGTAAAATTTGCAAATTTTTGTTCTGGAAAATGTGGCTTGTGTTTTGTTCTTGATGTGGATTTTATTATATAATTTATTTTATTTATTTTTCACTTTTAGAACTTGTTGGATTGTGATTGAACTAATTTCGGAATTTAATCCGAAGCGAGTATATCTATACTCTGTTTGTTTGCTGGGAAAGTGGAGGAAAATTAATCTAATTACTGTTTTTATTGGGCAATACCGTAATTCGAGTCCGTGTTCAATGGATAATAGTTTTGATTGCTGAGAAAGTGGAGGAAAATTAATCTAATTACTGTTTTTATTGGGCAATACCGTAATTCGAGTCCGTATTCAATGGATAATAGTTTTGATGGGAATAATAATTATTTTGTTCTTATTTTTGTAGTTAGTGTGTCATGGATTCGGATAATTTGGCAGCCACCTACGTGCTTGAGGTGGCTCATCAAAACGGTGTTCGTGGGCAAGCTGGTGTTGTTTCAGACGACATGAATGGGACCTTCAGCGAGAAGACTATGACGGATACTGCAGCATCAAACGGGAAAATTGAAAATGTTGATAAGCTGGATGACGGTGTTAATAATAACTCATCTATTTGGAAAGCCAAAGAGGCCAATGTCAACCCTGAAAGCAATGGTTTGACTGTTGCTTTGACTATTGCTAAGGTAGGAAGTGCTGGAGCCTGGATTTCAGCTGGTTGGTTTGAGTAATTATACGCATCGACCTGATTGCATATGTGTGTTGCAGGAAAACGAAGTGAAAGGTTCTACTCACCCAAAGCCCGCCAAAGTGCATAAAGGTCCAGGGAAGAGCAAGAATGAGAAGGCCCCTGGTGCCAAGAGCGTCTCCCCAATTTCGATGAAGAAAAGCAAAGATGGAAATGGCGCAGAGGCTAAAGCTTCTGCTTCGAATGGTTCAGCTGCTCCAAATTCACGCCCCAAACAGCCTAACAAGAGTGGATCATTTAATGGGCGACAGGTTCAGTCATCCAATGTAAACATCAATTTCAGCTTCGGTTTCCTTTTTTTTTCAGTTTTCCCTATCTTTGCAACGAATTTTGTGTTTTTGGTTTTTGATATCTTTGTTCTTGTTGATTAGTTTATCTAATCTCTATTTGATTCCAGCAGCAACCTGAAAAACCTGATGCAGAATTGTCTGAAAGCAGCGTGTGAGTTATGTTTGTGCTTGTATTCTATTTCTTTGTCTCTTTATTATAATTAGGGGTTTATATCTCTTATATTTTATTTTCTCTTCTTAATCCTTGGTGACCATCTTGATTTGAGATGTTTATTTTGGAAACCATCGTATTGAATTGTTAGCTCAGCTATTTGTTAATAATGATTTACCTTTTACAGGGAGAAGGCAAAGCTGAAGCCTTTGAAAAAGGGATCCCAGAATCAGGCTGAAGGAGAATCTCAATCCTCTTTGTATCCTTAACTCTTTGAGCATTTGTTGCTTTCCAAATGTGCTGGTCTTCTTACATTATTTTTCAGTTGCGTTTTATTGTTGTTTTATCATTTATCCTTAACAGCTGCTTAGAAGTCCTACAGAAGGAGATAAACATCCTAGGGTTGGTACACTTCCGAACTATGGTTTCAGTTTTAGGTGTGATGAACGAGCTGAGAAAAGGAGAGAGGTTAGTTTTCTGCATTTGCACCTTTCTGATTCTTTCCTATGCTCAGTCCTCCAACACTATTTCTGTTATCGAAGTAACATTTACAATTACCTTGGGCAGTTCTATACGAAAATGGAGGAAAAGATACATGCAAAGGAGATGGAAAAGAATAATTTGCAAGCCAAGTCTAAGGTGGTATTCAATCAATGGTGTTCAAGGGAAACCTCTGTGTGAATCCTGTTCTTAATATTAATGTTGGCCGTTCTTTTACAGGAAACTCTAGAAGCTGAGATTAGGATGCTCAGGAAGAAACTGACTTTCAAAGCAACTCCAATGCCAAGCTTCTATCAGGAGCCTCCACCTCCTAAGGTGGAGCTGAAGAAGGTATTGCTTTTTCTTTCAAAATGACAAATGGCATGATGCATGTTGGTAAAGGACATGCATGCCTCCACCTCCTTTGCTCATGCTGGTTGCATTGCCAGTTTTCTTATATTACAATTGTCGTATGTACATTGGCATTGCCTTTGTTAGATCTTCCTATATAGTCTCGCTTAAATTTCTTCTTCCCATGTGCAACTGTTAACAATTGTTTACTGGTAAAGTCTTGGTCCTAAGTGTTTTTTCGCATTCTTCAATCCCCACAAGAAGAGAGTGCATCTTTTACCACTTCTTGAGTTTGTGCTGCACCTTTTTCATTCTTGGCCAATTGAACATGTTATTCATGCCAAAGTTATCAATCGCTTAATCATATTCTCATGAACTTAGCCCATCCAGTCTGTTGGTTGGAACAATGGTAGCATCTGAGTTAGTGTTGACTAGTCTAGTACAGCTACCATGCTCCGTTTGATTGGAAAGGAGGCACCACAGACGTAATATTTTGAAGCTACCAACAACTGTTTTACCCAAAATTGCACTGCACATTACAGTTCATACTTTGTTAGTCTAGCGAAAGCTTATAAAAAAAATCGGTGTCAAGTTTCTTGACTAATATGTACTCTAAACATGCCTTTCTATTACCATTAGTTAAGCTAGCATGGCATCGTGATAATCCTTCTTCTCTGTACTTGGCTGTTATTTGATGGCATTGTGTTGCTTTATTTTTCGCCTTGATGTCTTTAGTGCAATTGATGCAGATACCAATAACAAGAGCCAAGTCTCCCAAGCTCGGACGTAGGAAAAGCTTACCTCCTGCAGTTTCTGAAGCAAATGGTAATACAAGTGGTCAATCTAGCAGGCTTAGTCTGGATCAGAAAGTCCCTCAGAACACTTCTAAAGGGCCCTCTCCCGTGCATCCAAAGAAGCCACAACGGAAATCTCTTCCTAGACTCCCGTCTGAGAAGACCACTTTACCTAATGCAGTGAATGAACGAAAAACGACTTTTAAGGCAGTAAAAGAGGAAAAGACCAACTTAATTGCTGCAATGAATGAGAATGCCACTGTGCCCACTGCAGAAAGTGAAGCTGGATCTCACACCCAAGATCAGGAGGCAGCAGTTCCCAAGGCCAAGGTAAGCGAAGAGCAGTCCCATACAGATGACGAGACAGCCGATGAAGAGCAACATCAGCCCACCTACATGCAAGAACCTATAGCCTCGGAGCATTGAGCACAAAGCATGGACAAAACTGGATGCGCAGAGAGAGCTCCATCAAAAGGACACTGTTTACTAAAATAAGAAAGGTAATAGATCTTATCAATTCGATGAAGAAGGCATGAAGAATTTTGCATTATGGTTTGTGATGTCTGTCTTGCCTGTAGTCAGCAGCATGGTTGTTTTGTGTGCTTGCTTTCAAGGTTGCTGGTCATTGTCATTGGAATTCTGAATTCCAGCTTTCTGCACTGTATGTAACTATTTGACAGGTTGTTTTTCTAAGTTATATGTTTAAGCATATGCATTAGTTGCCAGATAATTGGGAAGACTCGGGGAAAATTTTGGAAAAACTTTTGTTAGATATTAGTTCGTGCTTGGAAAATATATTTCAGCTGGTTCTGTTGAACAATTGGGAATTGCGAATCAATCAAGGCTGATTTTGTGTTGTAGATTTTCTCTGTCGCTTCGATGTCTTAAATTGTATTGCCTTCTGTATGTTACTTGAACCGCAAACAGGGTAAAATTGGCGTTCGAGGACTTTGAACCGTGGTTTCTTGGCACGATCTGAAACCAAGATGTCTTGCTAGTTTAACAGTTTTCTTGGTTGAGACGTGCATGGAAAGGTGGAGAGATTGAAGGAAGCGGGTGTGATTATGTAGAGTCCCCACTTCGTTAGAGGAGGCTCTGAGAAAAACTAGTGAACTGAACTCCTTAACGGCGTAGTTTTGAGCAAGATAAACCGAGCCCTCTTGTTTTTCCTGCATCTTTAGCGACTTTCAAACAACGCTCATACAATTTCGGTCTAGCTGCCTACTGCGATAATGATTTCCGCACATCTTTTGAATTGGATAAAGCAAATGAGAATCAAGAGATGTAAATAAGAAAAACGTTGGCAACTTTTGCACAAACTTTTACGTTCAGACTTTTTCACTTTAACAAACGAGGCGTACAGAAAATGAGTTTTTGGCTTGTGTGAACAAGACAAAACATCCATCATAGAGACGAAGTAATTGTGGCAACCACTATAGTAGGGGCAAATGTGGAACGTTAATTTATTATATTATTAGGTCAAGCCTACCATCATCCCAACATAAAAATCTTGATCAAAGATCTTGTTCAAACTTGCATTTGAAGCCGACCCTAACAAGGCTTTACCTTTAATCATATTAATTTTCACACTTCTGTTTTCCCTTCTGCACTCCAAACAAAGGGTGATTTTCACATTTTCGTTTTCTCTTTTTCGCTTCTCGAAAGAGAATTAAAGCGAGGAGCACCGAAGGAGAAAACAGGAGTATAAAACAAACTACTGCCATCATTTTTTTGAAATATCCATTGAACATGCCAAGGAAGCTTCTCAGCAAGCGAGACAACACTGTTTTGGCACATGGGAAAGGAAATTCACATAAATGTACAACATACCAATTCACATAAATGTACTTTACAGGACATTTTAATCTCAACATTTGATACCAAATCCTACATACAACTGGATGTTTTAATCTCGACCTTTGATCTCAGCGTAAATGAAATGGAACACACATTTTAAAACACAACTGAATTTTATTTAATATCATTAGAAGCATACATCGCAAAGGGCAGAGAGATACAGAGACCACTACATAATATGAAGAAGTTGCCGAGCACATTCCATGAACAAATGGTGCCTGAAAAACAGGGGCTTGGAAAAAAAACAAATCCCTCCCCAAAAGGAAAAGGATTGTCAATGGCAGACGCATAACAACGCCGCCAGGCCAAAGCCCCCAAACACAAGGACACCACAAATTCGGAACCGCCGAAAGCAACCGGATTACATGACTACAGACAAATCGATGGCCTCGCAACTCTGATCCCACCCTTTGAGGAAAACATACGACCCAACCATCACGTACGGCATACAAGTGAAAAAAACGTGAGCGACTCGGTAAAACCAACAACGGACTGACTTAGAAACTAGAACTAGGTATAGGATGCCTAAAATAACTTGGCCTAAGCATTGAACATAGCCAAGCAAAAAAGACAGGCCTCCTGCACCTAGCAATACAAACCAGAACTACTCGAAACTGGAAGGGCAACCTAGATCAAGCACCCGGAAGCAGTTTTGCTCAGGGATATATACGGCACAAGTACCTGGAACAGATCTCCAATGATAGGAAACCTGCAAAAAATGGTAAATGGCCATTTTTCCCTGGTAAAAAGGGAACCGGGGCACTTGACGACTAAAGACCCATAGCTGATGGGTCCAAAAACTAAACGAACTGTGGCTACTCACAAAAGCTGACTAAGATTTGTGGACTTCCTGACTACGTCAATCCTGATCACTGGTTGACGATTCTGATTCTGAAATGAACAATTACCAGTTTCTTCCCAACCTAGGAAAGTATGTCACAACGCCATAGCTGCTCCACAAGCCGGTCAACAGTGCTGCTGCTGATTGCGTTGCAATGCTGAAGATTCAAACCAAGAAGGGTCTGACCCATTTTCACCAAGGCAGGCAAGCTCTTGTCTGATACTAAAGGGCACCCAGACACGGAGAGGATCTGGAGATTTAGCAGGTCTGCATGGGCCAGAGATGCAATTCCAAAATCGGTGATTGCACACTTTGAGACGTCAAGATCACTGAGCAATGTGCAGTTCCCTGCAATAGCGGCCAAGCCTGCATCGCTGACCCTTCTACAGCCGTCAAGGTTTACGACTTCCAGAGTCCAACCATGTAGGTCAGCCAAGGATGAAACCACTTTGTCTGTTAGATTCACACAACCGCTGAGATTAACCTTCACCAGGCCAGCCTCACAGTTCTCAACCAGTGGGAGAAACCCAGCATCTGTTATAGCCTCAAGACCACTGAAGTCTACATGCTCCAGTTGAGGGCAAAGCTTACCCAAAAGAGCCAGGCCAACGTTCCCAAATCCAGGACACCTACGAATGGACAATGATCGAAGAGATTGGCATGGAGACACAGCAGGTGATCCAAAGTTTACATCTTTCAATCCCATGCAGGAAGCAAAAGCTACAGACTTCAATTTTGAACCACCAGTGGAAAGAGCACCAAAAAACCCAAATTGGGTGATCCTGTGGCACTCCTCCAAATGAAGGCTCTCAAGAGATCTTGTTGCTTTGCAAAATGACACCAACCCACTGTCAGATATGAATAGACATTTGCGAAGGCAAAACTGCTTCAAGTTCGGGCAACCTTTCCTACTGCTTGGAGACCTGTATCCGTAACACCTTGACAGGATGCAATAGTGAAGGACTTCAACTTCTGCAGTCCCTGACCATTGCCCATGAACAAGAAACCCCTCTGAGTCACGTTCCGGAGGCTGGCAAGGACAAGATCAGTTACAGCCAAGCCGTAGTGTCCAATAACAGCAAGTGACACATCAGAGATGGTCAAAGCCTGAAGCTTCACCTTTGTCAGGACATAAGAGGTGGAAGATAGCAAACCAGCAATTCCCTGATCCCCAACAAGACGGCAATTCTTGATTGAAATGGATCGGAGATTGGGGCAGCACTGGCCAATAGCTTGAAGACCTTCGTTTCCAATGTTGGAACAAAACTCAAGTGATACGTCAGTCAAATTAGGGCACTTCTTGGCAATTGCAATCAAACCCTTATCAGATATTGCAGGACACTGGGTGAGGTCAAGCTTCTCTAACAGATGACAGCGCTTAGCAATCTCACACAAGCCCTCATCTCCAACGGAGGACACATTCCACAAAGAAAGAACCCTCAGGGAAGGACAGCCATGGGATATTGCCTTAAGGCCAAGGTTTGTCACCCCACAAACAGAATTGCTTCCTCGGATCATAAGCTTTCCCAATCCACCACGACTAGCAGTTCCAACAGCAATAGCAGCAAGTCTAACATCTGTTGCCTTTTTTCCTTCCAAGCTCCTGGAAAGATATCCACAATTCTCAACTTCCTGATCCTCAGAATTATTTCCAGAGACCTCATCCTGAGACTTGAAAGATAGGTTGGTTGGGTTGCTGCTGAATTCGTCCGTATTGATATTACTTAAAACATTAAGCCACCGCCTGGAAACGCATGCACAAGCACTCCTTTCCTCACCTCCAGGTATCCGTTTAAAGATTTCAAAGAGGCACTCATCCGGTAGAACATCTATAGACACCTCCTTCTCAAAACGTCCTCCGCTAAAAACGAAGGGGGCACTGATGCGAGACCTCTTGCGAGGAGGAAATAGGACATCCGCATGGTGTCCAAGAGACAAGAAGAGACCAGCTTCTTTAGGGTTTGTGTATATTCCCCCAGGGCAAAAATCATCTTTACCTGTTAACCAAGAACACAATATTAACATCCACAATATGTTACAAATCCCTATCTAAGTCAACTTAATAAATTAATGAAGATCTAATCTAATAAACATGCTCAGCTGAAATAAAACATTCATCCAGAAACATAACAAGAAAAAAATTGAAATTTGAATTCAAAATTAGACTTTCAATCAAGATCTAAGATTAATTTTGATCAGAACAGGTCCCTAACTATTTGAAGACAGAGAATAATCTACCCATATTAATAAAATTTCACATCAGATCCATGATGCGTAAATTAATCCTCATCTAATTTCAGAAAGCAATAAATTCACCCAAAAAGAAGAAAATAAATACAATAACCCCCAAATTAAATACATGAAACAGAAGGCTGATCCATCCTTAGGGTTTCAAATCCAAAACTATCTCAGCTAGGCACCCAAAATTATTATTCCAAAAATGAAACTAAAATATAAAAGAATCACCAAAACAAGAAAACCCAACAGACAAAACAGGCTAGATAGTCAAAATTCCAAATATATCATCTCTGATCTACAAATTTAACAGCTAAACATCGTTCAAATCACAAATTTCAAACAAACCCACAACTATTAAGCCAAAAGTTAATAAATTTAAAAAAAAAAAAAAAAAAAATCTCGAGACTTACCGGAGAAACCGAGTAGCTTCGACATGGGTGCAGCTCAAAAACCTCCTGACGGTCGAAAATGCAAAGCTTTTGGCCGAAAAACCCTCGAAAGAGAGCAAAAAAGAGAAACCCAGAAACGATTAAGGCTGCAACAACGATCCGTAAAGCTTGAAGGCACTTATGCATGAGAGGTTGGAGCTACACGGACATGGAAACCCTATCAGATAGGGAAAAAAGGAGAGATGGAGAGGAGAGGGAGAGGGAGAGGGAGCTGAGAGAAATGAAGGGTGGGACTCGGTCTGATAGGAGATTTTATTGTGAATGACAGGGTTTCGGTACGTGACAATACACGCAAGATAAACTCACATGCAATGTATTTGGATATGAGGTGGGTTTCTTTGTAATATTCTGCCACCCACCCAATGAATACCACAAACCGTAACCTGCCTTTTTTTTCTCAGTTTGGTTTTGGTATTGAGGGGACTTGCCTAGTGGGGGTGTTTGGACACAATGGTGGATATGGGGGGTGTTTGGTTTGGATTTGATGTAGAAGGGGTATATAAATTATCCCCTCTCTATGGTAATGGTAACCATCGTGGTTGGTTGAAGAGGATGGACAAGGTTTCTTATTGGAAAAGGCTTAATGGAAGAACACTCTTTGGATTGCTTCTTGGTGAGTAAGAAGATTGCTAAGAATGCTATTGCAATGTGTGGAGGTAAATGGAGAATGAGGGAGTTCTTATATAAGATGAAATTGGGTTTGCCAATTTATTTGATTGCCTATTATGTTAGATTTAATCCAGGTTGCGAGATTTCTTACTGATTACGAGAAGCATTGTATGTGGTCCGGTTTTGTGCGGGTTGACATACTATTATGTTATATTTATCCTATTTTTATTTATTGAGGCTGAGGTGGATGCGGTCCGATATTTTACAGTTTGTTTTTCTATTTATGTGAGATTTCAAATTTCTACTTATTTTGATAGAGGCCGTTACCGTCCATCTATTTACGGTTTGATTTCCTATTATGTAATATTTATCCAATTAATTCGGATTTTTTACTTGTTTTGAGTAGAGGTTGGTGCGTTTCGATTTCGTAGGGCTTTTCCAAACTTCGCATCAAGCAGTGTAACTTTCTCGTTTGTTTTTACCTTAAACTAGTAGCACAACTGAACTATGCCAATTCATTTAGCAATTCGCTTTGTAGAGGTGGTGTTGCCCGATTCGATACATTTTGATTTCCTACTATGTTACGTTTAATCACAAATGCATATTTTTACTTGTTTTAGGTAAAGGTGGACAAATGGGTAGTAAAGTTAGACTCGTTATGTCATATAGGAAAAACGTACATTCAAAGGTAGTAACAGCCCAATTAGCAAATTGAAAAGATGACAACTGACCTCGCATACTTACAAAGATACACGGTCATTTGCTAATTCTTCACGTTAGCAAATTGAGTGTTGCAACATATTTTATTTAAAAGTACTATTTAGTAAAAAGTTTGAAAATAAAGTTAGGCCCGTGATAAGTTTATGATATTAACATATTCTAAAGTAAAATTTAAAATTTGGAGAGGACTGGAGTGATAAACCGAACCCTCACACAAGAGTCCAAATACTTTGTCGTCACTCTACGTACCTTAGGATAGAAACGACAATTCATATTAAACTTTTAAGTTGGATGTAGAGTAACAAAAGATACGTTCAAATAAAATCTTCCTTCTCATTTTTCAAAAAATGTGCTGCCCCGCTTTTAGCGAATTTTCGTTTTCGATATTATTCGCAATTTGAAGGCTAGATGTTGACACTTCAACTGGTGAATCAAAGAACTCGGCCGAAGATGGTGACTAAAAAAATAATTTCGGCTCAAAATTAAAGAAAATTGAGTAAAAGTGCGAGGGCATTATATGCTTTATATAATTAACTGTGTCAATAAATGCGTCAAAATTGATAAAATTTGAGTAGATATTAGATTTCTCAATGCATTTTATTTTCAAGAAAGATATGGTTTCATACACAAATAATTTTAGTTGGAGAATTACCCAACTTTTAGGGCTAATTTTGAATTAGTCCTAACCTTTTAAAACATTCCACATGACTACTAAGCATTTTAGAAAGTGGATATTTGTTTGGTTCACTAGTGCTAAGTGGCGATGTGGACAATCATTAATGCAAGTTTTTACTCTCAAGTCATCTATAGAGCTTTGAATCTCCAAATCGACACAGTTTAGCTAAGCAAATTTACAACTTAACTTGGCTAAAGGCAATCGATTTGGGGGAATTAAAGCTCTAAAGGCAATTAGTAGAGATCAACTTTAATATTTATCCACCTTATCCTTTAATGCTAAAAACTTCATCACTTTATATTGGTTAAGTCATCACTTAATAGCTGATGACCTAAAATATATCTAATTTTTAAAACGTTTAAATAGTTATTTAAAATATTTTAAAAGGTTAAGACTAATTTAAAATCATTCCACAAGATTAGATAGTTATCCCCACTTTAACTCCTATAAATAGGTCATTTAGACTTGAGAGTTGAAAAAAAGGTAAAAAGAAAGGAAGAAAAAAGTGGTACTTAAGAGTCAACCCATTTTGAACCCTTTTGCATCGTACCAAGGGAACAATGAATTTGAATTTTGTGTGTTTGCTGAAAATGACATTTGTTATGTTTAATTTGCCAATCATATTAAATATGTTAAATATCTTGTACCACATTGCGTACTTGAGACGGTTAATTCATGTTACTTTCATCTCTTATCTCAGATTACAATACATTCATGTTTAATTTGTCTTCTTATTTCAATCAACTTTTACGTTCTCATTATTTGATGATAAAAAATATCTATTTTTTAAGTCTCTCTTCAAAAATAAATTATGTGAAGAATTCATCTAATAAAAAACTGTTTAATCATCAGGTTTAGTGCTTAGCTGACAACGTGTTCATTTATTGGATAAAAGTTAGATAACTAAACGATTTCTTATTTGGTGATTTTTTTTTTTTCATAATTGATTTTTTCAAACCATTGTAGCTTGTAATAGATTCTTATACTCCTTCCTTGAACCATCGAAATAGAATGTCAGCTTATTTTCAAGTGTTTAATCACCCATTTCTCAGCACTATACTCTCAGTTGGTGTTTTTCAAATAATTCAATTGAATTTTGCAAACTCTTTACAAATTGGAAACCTCCCAAGTTGGAAATAATTAACTTGAACAACCAAGCTGCACTATTATTCTATTCCCAAATGGGGATCCAGCTGTGTGTATCTAATCATCCAAGCCTTATAATTGATAGCCACTCGATGTGGATACCATGGTTGGCAAAAAAGAGCCAGAGGGTTGGTTAAATTTGGTTCAATGCCAGCTCCAAGTTCATTGGTTCTTGGGTTGGGGGCCAACCTATTGGTGAATCGCCTTACTTTAAGGTTTGAAACCTTGACTTACAAGGTACTTTAAATTGCCCAAAAGAGAGGAAAACAAACCCCACCATCATTGTATAATCGAGAAGTAACGGTTGAAATTGAAAGGTCTGTTGAGGATTTTCAAATAGTAAATCTAAGATTGCATAAAAATATAAATTTGACGAGTGTTTTAGTTAACAATGATAACAAGTTATGTCATAGGATTAATTAAAAGACTTTTTTGTAGGTATTTTCTCAGAGTTTCATTTGTTATGTGAGGAGCTTAAATATTGAGCATTTAGGGGTATTATCCTCACACAATCACGTGTTTGATTTCTGACTGCCTCCAATTTTCGTATCATTTACATTGTAGTTCGACAAATGTTAGAATAGATAATAATTAACTGTTGAATGTGTTAGTTTAAAATCAATGTATGTACTATCTTACAATAAGTTTTACACGTACACATCAATAATTATCGCGCACGACACGTTGAATATAAGTAGTGTAGAATATTTTGATTATTCTCGCACTCTCTTCTCTACTCCAACGAGTAATTAACCAGCACATTTTGGGAACCTAAATCCTCAACTTGAAAAGAAAAGTCTAAACATTCTTAATAATATCACACCACTTGGCTTAAGCCATCTCATATATCATGGAATCCAGATCCAAGAGTGAATTAACTTATTAGAAGAATGATAACTGTGACGATAATTACGCAAGGCCTATCTTAATCTTTTACTTTTAGGATACTATATTGCAAGTGGGACGGACGGTGCTTCCCCTAGTTGTTCAATGTACAATGAAAGATTGCAGCCTGCATCGAGAGAGAGGGAGAGAGAGATGACGTGTACGGACTACCTCTCACCTTTCTAGGTTCGCTGTTTCTTTCTTCTGCTCTACTTTTCTTTTCCCTGTAGGATTCTCTTTTTGACCCAACTTGAACTTGCTGCTTCCCAAGTCAATTGTTTTTAGTCTTATAAATAGGCAGAAAAGAGAGGGAGTAGATTTTCTCCTTTCTTAATTTCCTTCTATTTTCCTTGCTTCCTTCCATACTTTCTCTTTATTTTTCTCTCTTTATAAAGAAATCAACGAAAAATATTGACGTTACTTAGTCTTAACCGTTCAAATAGAAGGAGTGAGGAGATAAAATGAGAGAGGAACTTGGAGAAGAGAGAATCCAAGTACTATTATAAGAGTATGCATTTTTTTTATACAAATAGTATGTTGAGATGGTAGAGAATGAGGTAGTCTTTACACTAGCAAAGGGAATTACGAGAAGATTATTGGAATCATTTTTCATAGCATGTTTACTAATCAGTAATTAAAGTGAACACGAATTTGAGCAAGCATGAACGGTGAATAAGAGTCATGACTACGAATCCCAGTCAATATTTTCTCAAAAAAAAAAAAAAAAAAAGACTTGCGATTGCCATTTCTCCATGAATCCCAATACCACATGCCCCAAGGAGTCATATTCTTGAAAAATAATAGGAGTGTGAGTCCCATGTATGCTAATTGAGATGCTTTTTGAAGCTCTATGTTTAGGGTGAACGATTGAGAAATCTAGACCACTTATTTTTACTTTTGCATTCTTTATTAGTTTATCTCATTGACTCATCTCACATTCGAATCTCTCTTTTGAACGGCACAGATTTCTAAGTTTGCTAGTAGAGTATCTCGATTCCATGTATGCAGTCCCATGATACCTACAAGAAACGCTTTAATATTAATCATCTCTCTCTCTCTCTCTCTCTCTCTCTCTCTCGATTTTTAAGCAATTTGAAATTGGTGCATCGTATGCATGTGTACCTGCTATGTTTGACCATAGTCCTATTCACCCAAGCACATCTTTCATTCTTTGAATCCTTGCTTTGAGGCTAATTAATCACTATTCTTTAATCTCTATTAACTATATAATTAAGCAACTAAATCTAGCAACTTGATTTACAATAATCCGTCCCACGCGGAGCCAAAGGCACAAGCACTATCCTTTCAGATCATCAGCCAGCTAAATTAAGCTAATTAATTAGCATGCAACCTCCCTGGATTAGCGGGTCTATCAATATATAATTAAGAAATATGATTTGCATTTGCTAAGAAGATGGATTTTGGATTGTCTTCGTCAGGAGCATCCGTATTCCAAGATTCTCTGAAATATGTTTTCCCAGCTAAATATTAGTTTAAGTTGTAGGTTAAGGATTTATCATGGAAAAACAAGAAAGAATATCTCATGACATCCCCTAATTAACCTAAAAGATTTCTTCTTGAAGTTGAAGGATCATGCTGGCCAACCCACCTTTTCTTTTCTAACGAATATATCCATGATCACCATATAATTTAAGGTAAAACTTCCTACGTCCAACTACATGCATATCTCAAGTGTATGTTGAAGGGCTCGTTTAGTACTGAGAATTGAATTAGATTGAATACTTCATAAGATTTAAAATTTGTTAAACTGGAAAATAAAGGTTGAGGTGAAGAATTATTCATTTTGCATGGATTTGGGAAGTTCGGAAGAAGTAAATTTCATTCGAGATTAGTTCATTTTTTTACTTGAACAAAATTTCTTAATTTCTTGCTTCAACATGGCTTGAATCTAATGAGTTATCCAATTTAATCGATTTCTAAACATCAAATGAGTCAAATATAATTACACCCATCAAAATTTGAACCTAAAACGTCTTACTGCTCTTTGCTCTTCCTTTTCCAACTTGGCCACCTACACGTTTAGGCCTTATTACAACATTTAATATGTTAATGTTTTTAACCTTAAAATTACCATGCATGTAAACAACTCATTTCACATCTCCTTACCTAAAATATTATGTTACAAGAACATTTTGTCAGCACATGGTGCGCGACTGTATCCCTAATGATGGTCAGTGGGTGCCCATATATCACTGTCATCACCAGCACAAGCACAATCACCACCATTCACCACCACATGTAACAAACTACACTCACATGAACCTCCATTCAACTAAATGTATGCTCATTAACCATTCCTATATCTAGGATCGTTGGTATACATATCAAACACAATTTGACACGTATTAATTCATTTTTATGTTTTTAATAGGCTATTTGTATATTTTTTTTAATTTACAAATAAATAAAATGACTCGTTTACTATAAAGAAGCGTTATTTTATTCATGCCTCAAATCATAGAAAAAGGCTAGAACATGTATTATTGGGCTGACCCATCTTTATGTTTAAAAATCTCAAATGAAGATGGCCCACATCCACTTTCAATGTTTGAATTTTGCACTAGTGTTTAAAGGAGTAACAAAACATGGTGCTTAAATGTCTTTGTCTTCTGTGTGTCCAAGAGAAGCAAGAGTGAAGAAATGTGGGGTCAGGAAATAATTTACATTGAACAAGTTTACTATTACGTTACTTTTCTCCTCAATAAAGCATATCATGTGTAAAGGTTTTTCACATTATATTGTTTTAAAAATCGAGACGCTACAATAATAGTAAACTCGTTTTATATCAATCGTTGTCATAGGTTGGACTTTGTTTTATAAAAGAACACTATTACATAATTTACATTACCTGGAAGCATACCACAAAATTTAAAAGGAGAAATTTGCAACAGGTTCACATTTCACGCATCCATTTTATTATTTTATTATTTTATTTATTTTGATTACAATTATTAAACGTGAAACATGGAACATGCATGACATAAAACATTGTATTTAGATTGATACTCAAAACACATTAGTCCAAAGTCCTCAAATTTTTTTTGACTCGGCTCCATTTAAGCTGGCTCACGCAATTTTTCCTCCTCTTAGGCATCATCTAAAGTGTCTCCTCTGTGGTTAGGATTAATTTTGATTTCGTTCGGTTTGGTTCAACTATATAAAAATAATAATGGTTTATAGATTTTAAAGGTTTCCATTAAATTTAAGTCTTTAACGCATCGTATGATCGAAGTTTGATGTCCATTTATCTGCTTTTAGTTGAATTGTCTAATTAACGCATCGTATGATATTGTCGCTTATAATAAAAATAAAAATAAATAGGAAATGGGACTCCGCATTTTACGTTTGGCAAAGTGATGGCTTTCAAAATTGTGGATATTATGGACGAGGAGCATTAAGGTAGGACGAAATGTTGAAGAACGTGATGCCACCAAGGAAGCACTAGTGGTATGTGGATGGACCAACCGTACATTGTTTTGACAAATAAATAAGGGCAAAGGTCTTAAATTGGCCCTTGTGACTTTAGGTAGTGTAACTTCAATTTTGTTAATTCTACCCATGCAATTTACGTTCACCATCTACTCAAGTAAATGTTCAATTTTGCGGATTTAACTACAGCACATATATTCACATAAATTAGTTGATTGTAAGATGATGATTGTATTAAATACATATAAGTATGGTAGACAATCCCTCAATTTTAATCAATTAGTTTTTACTGCTAATCGCACTTAACCACCTGGAATAACGCTAGTGTCAGTCTTCGAGTTTTGTTTTTTTTTCGAAAAAACAAGAAAATGGTTATTAGCGCTCCAAAATAGGGAAGGAGTTGAAGGCAACTATTTCAAGTGCTAATAACAACTTCCAAAAACAATAGCTGAGAAATAGTGTAAGGTAGCTATTGATAATTAAGTAAACCATGCAAAAAAGCAAGAGAGTTTTTTTAGTGTTTTCTTGGTCAATCATACAAACCCTCTTGCTCCCAAATATCGACGAGAAAATCGACCATTTCCTGTCATTTAAATTACAGAAATGGTCAGAATCAAAGAGGTTTGCTGAAGCATTAGCATAGGTGTGGAGCCAAGTCAACTTACAGGAAGAGGGATCGGCTGGGGAAAAGGCTTGTTGGTACTGAGTAAGCTCTCGTAAGTGGCGTTCCAGCTACAAAAATACTATCCAATCATCAGCGTAAAATTGATAATTCAACTGCCAGGAATAAAAACTTGCACAAGCAGCAACTGCGTGCCGATCCAATGTGCAAACAAGAGAGAGCTAAGATCAAGTGAAGACGATTAAGCGGTGAAGTTGGAAATCAGGGCACCTATTTCTACATGCTTGGAAGTGTCGGTTCATACTTTAAGCGTTAGGTTGACCAGTTCGGAGATGATTTAATGAATATCCGCAAGAGCCAATAGGTGCAAGGAATAAAAATTTCACCTTATTCTAGGTTCTCGAAGTTCCTTCTGGCGTTGAGGCTGTTTATTTGCAAGCCACTGATTCCTTGTCTGGTTCCAGAGTAAAAGACCTGAATCCATTTAAATTTTGAACATTAAAAATTTAGTTTGACAGAACAATTTGATTTAGAGGCATGGTAAAACAATACTATGATTCCGGACAAATAGTAAAGCCACATAGTTTCAGAAAAGCACTGCAAAACCTATCATCCATTGCTCTTACTTTGCTGGTCTAAAATATTGCAGCTTGATAATATGGCAACAGCAACACCAGGCCAAACTTCTATTTTTCTCAAAGATAGCTAAGATCAATCAAAGAATGATGACATAAAAAATAAAATAAAATGGTTATGCAATCAAACTTTCGTGAATATCCACCCACTGTCTTCTCTTTTGTTGTTGAAGATAAATAAAACGTGCATGGATATCAGTCAGACATGGCATGTCCACAAAAAAATTACATTGAAGAGAAAGAGACACAGAGAGAACTTGCCATGATTTACAAATGCAGTTGTATTGCTTGTGCTGCCAGAAGTACTGTGGGAATCAAGGGGATTTGAAGTGCTAACAGATGAGATGCTTTTCTGAGACTGGACTCCGCTGTCCTCCATTTCAGCACTGCTAGTACTCCAGAAATCCTCTGATATGCTATTTTTTCTCACTGATCGACCTTGAATTCTCAGTCTGTTCGATGGCTCATCAACTGGAATATGTACACGGGGTTGGCTACAGCATCCAAGACAGCCTCTGCTCTGTTACAAATTAGGTTGAAGTAACCACAAAAAATGATTAGTGCCACAACTATCAATTTGATTTAAGATACAAAAGTTTATGCCAAACTGTAACAAGTAAAAGGAAATTGAAAATTAATACTACAGGGGCATATAATCGACATACAAAAAATTTTCGGAATCTCTCTAAGCCTCCACACCCCAGAAACAAAGAAATAAGGAAACAGTTGAAACGCGGATGCATACATGTCAACATGATTTAAAACTGTAGAATCCTCCAATTAATGAAACTTCCACCTATAATCAAATCTGGCTTTCTTTTTCAGGTAAACTAGACAGAACCTTACAAAAGAAAATGATGCAAGCTCCTCAGCATGCACTCTCACAGAAAAAAGGTTTGCATTGCTGTCAAAGGCAATTCATAGTCCGCATAAGAAAAAATATAAAGCGAGCATTCAACAATAATGGAGATATACGGCCATGCATGAATTTAGACCTGTCATTATCCATAAAGCGAAAATATCACTGCACTGGTACCGAATTCAACCATTGCAACAATGAAGCCTTGTAACTAAAGTTATTAAACTCAAACATGAGAAAATAACTTAGCCACTCAAACTCACGCCACCAGATCCAAGTTCAACAAACGGCACTGACAATCCAATTACGAAAAACTCTTATAACAAGACAAGGCATTATCATTCCCTGGAGTAGAAATTCATTACAAATAAATTGTTTACATATGAAAAAGAAGGAACATGCATCCCTTACTCTGAAAAGAGCCTTGCATTTCGTATTGATTTTCTCCATAACTACAACCACAAAAGATCGAAAACAAGCACCGGAAAACACAAAAAATGAACAGCACGGTCTCTTCTCAAAGCATCTCTCTGTCTGAGACCAAAAACAACACCCATAATACATATTTCCTATAGAAATCCATGCGAAGGGAAACCCCTAAGAATATACTCACCAAATGCCTAAGGTTTGAAGCAAAGAATGTGAAATAAAAAAGCTAGAAACACATTTCCAAGTTCACTCACTCTCAGGATCGCTTAACGAACAAGTAAACCAAAGTACAAAGATTCTAAAACAAAGTTAAAGGAAAAAGCTTGAGCTACAGAAGAAACATAAAGTCCCTGTTTGGTCATCCAGAAAATTAAGGGGGAAAACAAAGTACAAACAGCAAATTTTCACTTTTAAATCTTCTTCTTTTTTTCCTGTGATGTCAGCATCCCAGAAAGAGCAAAATCAATTTTACTACACCAAGGAGTTGCATATCTCAGATTTCAATTTCAAGAGTCAATACTTGGAAAAACAAATCTCATCTGACATGTGAAGTCTCACTTTAAATATTCTTCCCTCATTCTCTCAATAACCAGACAATTAGAGCAGAATGCCTATGTTTGGTTGCTGAGAAAATCAACATAAACAATCCTAAGTTTTCAACTTTTCTTCATTTTCCTTAATTTTCTCAGGAAACAAACAGAACACAACCTTTTTTCTCCAAAACATAACAGAAAGAAAGAGAAACTCACCCCAAGCATGTGAAAATGGCAGAGACCCAAGAGGGGAGATATCTACAGCTTTTCATCTAGAAGCGGCCAAGCTCAAACTTTTCCACCAAAATCCTGAATCCAAAAAGGAGAGAAACAAAACCTCACGATCCTGCATAATCCCATACGGATACGGCGTTTGACAGATGGATACGGGTATCCGACGGTTTAGAAACGGGTATCAGACGGTCTGGATACGTGTAAGAAAACCTCGCGACGGAGATGACGCAATGTGGTGGAAGGAGGCCTCGCGAAGAAGACGACCTGATCTGGTGGAAGAAGGTGTCTCACGGAGACGACCCGATCTGGTGGAAGGAGGCTCTGCGAAGAAGATGACTGCTATACGTCGACATGCCGTTTGTTTGTTTCAGTAGAGAAAACGACACCACATATTTTTATTAATTATTTTTAGTGTTTAAATGGGAATAAAGCCCGAAATTACAAAGCCCACCGACTCTATAGACTATACCACGACCACCCTTTCTTTTTGAGAGTTTGAATTATACAAATTTATATTTGGTTAATTAATTTTTTTTATTGTTGTTTATAAAATATATTTATTATATAAATTTTTGTATCCAGCTGTATCATGTCTTTATTTTTAGAAATTCGATATATCCCCGTCTTAGATTGGTTGTATTCTCGTATTTGTGTCTATGCATCCTAGCCCATAATTTTCCAACAAAAAAAAAAAATTAACCCACAATTTAATGTTAGCAAAATTCATATGCAACCTAAGATCTATGTTTCTATTTGATTCCAGGGAAGAAAAATACATTAAAATCATAAAAAAGAAAAATGATTCCAACCGCAATAAATAAAAAAGAAACTTTTTATTTTGCAATTGTTAATTTAATTTAATTAGAATGAATCTGAAAGATGGCATGGTTGGATTGGAAATTGGGTATATCATTCGTGTTAGGTCCTTTTCTCCTTAATGGAACAGATGGCCGTCTGGTTGGCTTCTGATTCAACCAAAGGGGCAACCCTTGTTCTTCTTCAACTCTTTCCCCTTCTCTTTTCTTTCTTTCTTTTTATTTTCTTAATATTTTTATGTGTCCTTGTCAAATGTGAGTAGGGAGACAGAACCAAAGGTTACAACAACTTCTGTGAAATTCTAGGATTGTGTTGTGATGGATTCCATCATGTTTTCATCATCCAATTAGTGTTCTTTGGAGAGAGAACCTCTTCGAATCTCTTCCATCAAGCCATCGCATCAAGTGATCCGGATCTTTAAAATTTCATTAAACGGTAAAAAATTATCACACCTTTTCTCAATGATGAAAACAGGTGGACCGTTAGATGAAATTTCAAAAACCCGATCACTTGATCCGGTAACCTTGGTGGAAAGAGACCCGAGCCATGTTCCTTTACATCATTTTTCTTGTTGCTGTATTTTTTTTAGATGACACCTGTTATTGGATATGGGGTAAAAGGACTCAATTATTTGATTGCTGTGGGTATATGAAGTGTATTCTGAAGTTCTGGTCTGATTTGGGTGAATCAGAATATTGACATAAAAATTGAAATGAATAAGGCAAAAAAAGGTGTCAACTAATTTACAATTATGTATGCAACATGAAAAGCACCTCTCAAATGTATCACTTTCAACACTAAACCAAGAGAAAGAAAAAAACACTAAACCAAGAGCAGCAAGTAAAAAATTGAGAAGATGTTCTGATTTGTGCTTCCACCAAGTTGGCAGTGTGACGTTTAGCACAATACCAAATTCCTATACAAGAAGTTACCTTCACGAATATAAAGAACAGTGAATTTTCACTCTATTATTTTGTGTGCCCTTTTTTTGGTTTTAATCTTTAATCTTTGATTTGTTTAATCCATACTATAAAAATAAATTATAGTGCAGAAGGGGTGCGCAAAAGTAATTTTCCTAAAATAAAGTGAACTTTAACGAAAAGTTCTCGATACTGTTCACTTTAACAAAAAATCACCTTTTTTACACTAAAAAGTTAATCATGTTACTATTCACTTTACCCTTTATTTTATCCTTATCATTAAAACTCAAAGTTTTCAAATCATCTTCATTAGTTTTCCTTAAAACAAATAGCATCTGCCAGTTATGTCTTTCTTGGTGAGGTCAGATGGGGAAATTCCATTGCATTATGGGCAGGGGAACTAAAAAAAAAAAAAAAAAAAAAAGGCAAATGCAATATCACAGTTGATGGACATTAGACTTTTATTTGGATATTATTTGCATACGTTTTTGTACACGAACTAACATTGCTAGTAACTAGTAGGAATTTACATTTGAATTAATCAACTAGGAACTACACTTTTAGAGGAAACACAACATCTAAGTGGTGAGGATTGGAGGAAGGTAGTCAGATTTGGTGCCGAAAACACGAGCCTTGGTATCGGGAAAATATTCGAAGCCAGGCAGTGTTGTTAGAGCTCCATTATTGCTTACCACAATGGGGTAGTGGAGAAGGTGACCTGTAATGTCATAAATCGTGTCGCTCGAGTAAAATTCCCAGTTCCCTTCGGCAATCTGGTTCACTCTTCGGATGCATTCCAAAGATTCTGGATGCAAGAAGGAGTCGTCAACCACTTTGAGGTGCTCATACCATAGTGCTAGCCTGAAAGCATAGATCTGGCCCCTGGCTGGGATTGTCGAAGCTAAATGGTTAGGTTGGAATGCTCCTATAGCAATCTCAGAGTCCCTTGCCCCATCCATTGACCTTTGGTTTATGTTGGCAGATCCAATGATTATGTATTCATCATCAACTAAAAAAAGACATATGTTAGAAAAATTACTTTAATCAATATTGGAACATAATGACTAGTAATCTGTGCGAGGTATCTAACATGTTACGTTGCTAAGCCGTGATTCAAGACCATAAATTCTGACGTGCTATGACATGTTACTAGACCACGAATTAGGACTGTTCATTCTAACATGCTAGTTCTAATGGAAATATGCGGTTATGAGTCACTTACCTATCATCATTTTTGAATGCACGTAAATCATGAAACGCCGGGCCTCTTGAGCTCTTTTGTAATCGGTGTCTGGCTCTGGAGTCTCGGGAGGTTTATATTCTCCATCCATCTCCAACTCCCGGTTGCCGAGGCAGAAGAATGTGAGATAATCCTTAGGGTTTGCATTTGAGCCCTTTTTCTGAAGGGCTTCTGAGATATCAGTGTACATCATCTCCATTGTCCTTCTTTGCCAATCCAATATAGCCTGAACAGAAGCACTCTCAGGCATACCTTCTGGCCACATTGGGACAACAATGTAGACGCTGAACCTCTCTCCGACTTCAATTTTGCTAACAATCTTCAGCGAAAGCTCCTTCGGTATAAGGTGTAAAGCATTGATATCCTCATCTCTAATGTCTTTTGATCTCCATCCAAATGAACTTCCAAGAAAATACTGATTCTCAATGTAAATGAAGTTTTTGGCTCGCCGGATGGCATGGATATAAGCGTCTTGAATGCTTCGGTCGATGATGTTATTCTTCCCACTCACAAGTCCTATTTGTGTTGCTTCAAGAGGCTTTTCAGGAAAGCCAAAAGCAGCCCCATTGTCAATGGACCTGAATAGTTGAACGTTCCATGATTCGTCGTTGTTTGAAAACACATCTTGTAAAGGGTGAACTGTGATTTCTTCAAGTTTGCCTATTGGAATTAAAAACTTCTCTCCAACCTGTTTTTTCCACCTCTGCTCAAAGTTGTATAAGACATCCCAAGCAACCGGCCCTTCCAGTTTACAATGAATGTCATGCCAGGGCTCCCTTGGACCACCTTTCCTAATTGAAGAGCCTGCAAAGTTGGGCTGATGGAAATCATTCTGGTGGGTTGTGCCTAGGGTTGCAAACAAGGGATGTTCTTGAGTATCATATCTTCCATCACAAAGATCAATGCCTCCGACAAAGCTCACAATCCTCCTCTTTTGTGATCCTCTGCCTGATATCTCACTGTCCACCACAATCGTTTTTTGATGGTGAGTAAACATTGTGGCAGTCTGAAAACCCTGAATAATGCTTTTCCCTACATCAGGGTTCCGAGGGCATAAGAAGCAATGCACTTTTGTGTTTCGAAAATATTCTTCGGTTTCTTGATCATGAGTTGTCATCAAACCATCCTTCTTCAGCTCCTCAATAGAAGTTCTATCATCCCAAACAAGCAAAAGAACCAAAACGCCCTCATCAGCCTTCCTCTTAAGAAGCTGCCCTAGTGTAATGTCATCTTTTCGCCTTCTTGGGTCCCTTAACAAGGTTATTTGAGTGTACACAGACCACCCAGTTATGTAAATAAAGTATCTTGCATTAGTGATTGCATCAAAGACGTCCTCCCAACATCTTTGCGGCTCATATAATCCGCCTAGGGGCATAGGAATATGAGGATTAAATTCATCTGCAATGTGCGAATCTTGGTATAGAGTAACCCTACAACCCTGCCTTTGATTGAAAAACGTCCGAGGAACACCTTCATACGTAGGGTTTCTAATCCCAAGTGACCAGTGAAAATCTTCTGCAACACTGGAAAATTGTAACTTGACATGAATTTTAGAATTACCATGGATGGGATTGTGATCTTCATCCAAAATTTCAACCCATCTATCCGCCCCATAACCCTTGAGTATCTCCTCAACTGGTATATATGCTCTTCCAATTAGGGTTGCCCCAATGAGATCATCATCTTTGACAGTGAATATAATGTGTGAGATGTTGTGGGCACAGTAGATGTGAAATTCTTCCCCCCATTTCGGTTTGTTTGGATCATTTACCATTCGTGTACGCCCGACCCTTGCCTTGTCTAGATCAATTGTTGCATAGAGTTTGGATCCAACAATCTATATGCAAAATGTATATGGTAAATGTCAGAGTGAATTATGCAGAAAAGTATTAGTTTTGGAGGAAAATGAACTTGATATAAATATATTTGGCAAGGGATGTATAATATACCTGCTGGGGTCGGCAAAA